TTCTGTGGGACTAGTCATTTTCTGTTTTGGGTGATTTCGGTGAGAGTTTTAATGTCATTTTACAGTTAGTAGGTAAGATTTTCACTTCTGAATTTTGTTAAGTGTTTGTTTAAAGAATGTTAAACATATGTTTAAAAGGAATATGTTAAAATATGTTTAAGGAATGTTTAAAATTTAAGGCTGGTAGTACAACAGTGAAGAGTGGGTTAATTATCTCCATGAGAAAAGAAAATTAAAATTCACAAATTAGAGTTCCATTTTCACTTCTATTATAGGAAATAATCACTACAGCAAGTAATACTCAATAGTAGTCCCTGAAAACAACAGTAAACACCAATGCGAAGATCTCATGGGTAACAGTGTTGGCTCACTGATCAGAGAGCAGCTGTGCCATGTGAGAATTCCTAGCAGGCGACGTGGGGAGCTGTTTCATTGTTAAGAGATAACCTTCAAAACTCTGAAAAGCAAATGTCAAAAATTTCAGGAGTCAGTTTATGAAAGACAAGAAAAACTGAGTTACAACGATCAAAAGCAATACAAGTCCAAAGATGAGTTTCCTATAAAAAGAGGCGGGGTGGGGAAGAGAACATATCAGGACAACAGATAAAATGTGACTCTAGATCACGTACCAGACTGTGCTGTTCCATGGTTAAAGGTCATGAGTGCTGTATTATGATCTTGTTCTTAAAAGATACACACTCGAGTATTAAGATTCCTAAAAAGTTCAGTATAAAAATAAAAGAATGTATATATATGTGTAAAGCATGCAAATGTGATAAGATGTTAACAACTGGGAATCTAGATAAAGGTGGTCACAGAGCTATTCCCTAAACTCTTCTCTACACATAAATTTTTACAAAATGAAATATTTAATAAAAAAATGTGGAGACCTGCTTCATGATCCAAGGTACTGCCTCGAAATTGACTGGACATCTCCCCCTACTCCTAGCTCAAAGACAAAACCACAGAAGAAAGCCATGATAATCGTTTGTAAAAACCTGTAATGTGCAAATAATAAAAGAGATGCCTTAACAAATAACATCAGAAAGTGTTCTGACTCTCTTAAGTATATTCCCGGACAGGCTAAGACACAGACCCAAGGGTTTTATTTTGTTTTAAACCATGTACAAGAGAAGAGGGATGAGAACTAACACTTCTGAGAGACTAGACACTCTGATGTGGAACTTTACTGAAACTATTTAACTTGACCCTGTTAAGATCTGAAACTGAAAAAAATATTTTTAATACAATACAGTAAATAGCTTTATATACATGTATTCTCCATATTTCTTTTTCTTTTTTGGTACCTGGGATCAAACTCAGGACCTTGCGCTTGTGATGCAGGCAGCAGAACCACTGAGCTAAATGCCTGGCCCTATTCTCCATATTTCTAACGAAGAGATTATGAAGGCTTGAAATTGTTTTTTAAAAAACAGAAGCAATATTACTTTCTTTTTAAACAATGGTGCTATAGGGTACTGTTTAAAAATAAAGTATGAAGCACTGTCAGGAAGACACCAAAGATGTACCACAGCCAGATTTCTGAAGATACCTAACAGTTATTCTTCATGTTTTATAGACCCCTATATATAAAGTAGGGCCCTGCTACTCCATACCACTCTTCACTCATTTCCATTCATCACTCCAGCATAGCCCTTTCACCTGGTAAAAAGTAGAAAACTAGCTTATGAAACCCAGAGACCTCTGCAGACTCTTAAGATTCTAGGGATTCTGCTTGGAAATACTGGAGCCTTTTACTTATGGAAATAATAACTGACAAGTGTATAGGGAGGCACACTAAAAACACATAAAGAAGGAGAATTTAGGATAAATACTGCTTTTTGTGGAAAACTGATCCTAAATAATGTATCTGTTAAATACTCTCTTATCACAAACTTTCATCTTTATGAACTAACTACAAGAAAAGAACAGGTATTAAAAGGGAAAATGTTTTATTTATTCAGGCTTGAAAATTTTATTTTTAACAGATATAGTATGACTATCAAAAGCCAAAAACTTAAGATTTAAGAAACTCCAAATATGAAAAAAATATTACAACATATTAATTTTTCAATCAAGAGTGATTAGCACGTAGCATCACACTTATTGCTGTAATATATAACAATATATTTGTGTGATATACATACAAAGTGTGATCAAAACATGGTGAATGTTTCAGCTTTTAAAAATTTTATTGAAGTACACATTGCCATGAATCTCCCTCAAAATTCTCTTCCTCACTTCAAACACACTTATCCACTGTTCTTGCCACTTTCTGAAGCAGTTCTAGAAGTCCTCTCTCATCCATGTCTTAGTGACACTTTTGTGACTGCCTCAATGTCCTGAATTGATTTAAAATGCTGACCTTTCATGGTTATTTTGACTTTGGGGAAGAGCCAGAAGTGACAGTGTCAGATCCAATGGATAAGGTGGACAAGGACACATCATAATATTTTCACGAGCCTGCCTTTCTCTTGAATGGTGCTTGGCAGCAGCGTTCACCTTTTCTGGGTCACACCTTATAAGGATACTACAAAGGACTTCCAGAGCTGCTCAAAAAGTAGTAAGAACAATAGGGTAATTGCATTTGAAATGACAGGGAGAATTATGAGGGAGATTAACGGCAATGTGTCTTTTACTGTAATAAATTGTATTTGAACACACCAAATTTTATTAGCCTATTTCTACCTGGGCTATAATATTAAAAATCCTGTAAGACTAAATTTTTAAAAATTTTCAGCAGTTATTGGTATAAATATAGCACTTATTTTTGGAATTATTACTTAAAAATAAATGAGTAAGCAAACTCATACGGAGAATTTTGCTTGGTTGTATCTGACTTATTTTCTTCCCCCAAGTTCTAGTTTATACTAAAACTTTAAGTTTAATTCTGAAAAGAAAGTATTTCTAAAATGAAAGTATCAGAAATGGTACCTTAAATATTTTTTAGTTACTATGTACAAGCTTCTATATTTTGAGCAGACAACAAATTTTATATTCAGGAAATGTTACTTTTACTACTAATCCTCCTTTTTAGCCACTAAAATTGAGAGTTGTAGAATTTCCTCTCCAGGATGTCTTAAGACTGTTTCTATATCTTTCTTTACCAAAAAATTTGGATAAACTTTTAGAAGAAGTAAAATAAGAAAAACAAAAATAAATTATAAACACGTAGATGATTAAACATACTCCATTTCTTTTTTTTAATTACACCACTGTTATTTTCATCTAAGGCACTAAGTATCAGCCCAAAAGACTGAAAATATATATAAAACACTTAGCAACATGCCCAGCCCATCAAAGGCACTTTATAAATTAAGGTTGCTTTTCCTTCCAATAATCACTCCCATAACAGTTTCTGGCATGTTATATTATTGGAAGGCCAACTTTACCCCTCTACAGCTTACGGTTCTATATGACACAACTCCTGAACTTGATCATTACCTTATATATACCAAATTGATTCTTGCTGTTTTCACAATTTTCTAATTGCTATTCTGGAAATAAATGAAACATCTGATTTATGTATTTATTTACTTACTTACTTATTTCAGGCCTCCCATCCTCTCTGCATTACCAGCCAAATCTTTCTGAGATATACTGGACACACACATGCACGCACGCGCGCGCGCACACACACACACACACGGGGAGGGGATGCAAAGTAATAGTGCTTCAAAACTAACATATATACTGGAGTTGCCAATCTGTCAACTAATGATAAATATACTGTACAACAATACTCATGGAATTTACATATAAAGATCACAAGTTGTACAGTATGAGGTGGAAAAGGAGATTATTTATTCCAAAACTCTTAGCTATGTCTCTATTGAACCATTTTCACATCATGAAGACAAGAAACACAATACTCCATTTTCTGTCCTTGTTTTCATCACTGGTCATAAAGGCCATACCTAAAGCTCTGGTTTTGATAAATTTGGTGCTTTACTGATATAAACATAACCTCATTGCAGAACAGGCAATCTACATTTTGCTCTCATCATTTAAAATAAATATGTTTTGAGATTACAAAAAGCTAAAGATGGTAAAGTCTTATCATCCCCAAATAGCACATTTTCCTAATTTCTGTCATTATAGAACTGGTCACTGTATAACAAGTGTAAATTATGCTACTAACTGCTGACAAATTTTTTAAAATTTCACCTTAAAATATAGGCTAGTATTATAGCACAGGTGGAAATAAGGTAATTTTAAATTGAAATAAATTAGTCTTTTATCTAAATTCCAAAGATGTTTATCTTGGGGTTTTCAACAAAATCAATCTATTTAGGGTAATTGTCTCAAGCCAAAGGTAGTCACACTTCATTTGTCTTCTATCTTCAGAGCAGAAGGTATTCTACAAGGGTGAGCTTTCCAAATGACAAAGTGTCCATTTCAATGCACGCTCCAACAATTTAGGATAGAAATGCTCTTAACTGTACCCCATACTTCCCTGCCAGTTCAGACACTACAGTACTTTGAATGTAATGAAGCATTTGTTACAGAGCTCTCCCCTGACTGTACACCGGTTTGCTGAGGACAAGGACAATTTGCTCCTATGCAGGTGGCTTGACAATGGTAAGTTCTTAAATCTTCACTTTCAGTTTTCCTGCCCCTAATGAAAAACTCTACCATCATTATTTCTAGGTTTCCTTCAGTCATCTGATAAATCACTGCTTCTAAACTGGCCAGTAAATCAGACAACTGTGCAAGTAGTAATTTTACCAAAAGTATAAACAACACATTGAAGTGAGAGTCTCTAATTAAAAAGGCACTCTGCTTAGGCTACACTGTGACGGAAATTCAGCCACTCAGAAGGCATTTTCACCTGTTTCCTAATTCATGATTATATCAGATCCCTGTGTCCAGGAAAACAATGAACAAGTTATCACTCTCAGCAATAAATCCCTTTGTACTTTCTCGTCCAGTAATACTGCCAATTTTTAAACCTTACCAAGTTCACCAATACTAAGCAAAACAGTAACAGTCAGACTTACCCGACGCACGCCTTGTGAATCTGTTTATTGCGGGAGCTAAAAGAAAAAAGAATAATAATATAATTAGTAAAAAATTTAATTTTTCCAAAATCCTGAAAAGGCTCAAATTAGTAAGAAATCCCATAGTTCAAACACAGAAAAATACAAATGAATTAATAATACAAAGGGGAAAAATATACAAAAGTAAATATTTAAATTCACTAATGAAAATATAAATTAAAATCACTATTTCACCTATTAGTTTCTGCCAAAACACTTGAAATAAAAATCCTTTGTTAGAAATACTGAAACTGCTTAACTGTGTAAATAAAATCTATATAATGGGACAGTGTAAATCTATATAATCCCTTCAGAAAACAAGTTGACAATTATACCTAGTTGGATATAAGAGGTCTGTGTCCTTTAAATGAGTAATTGGCCTTTCAAAGATTCATCCCAAGGAAGCGCTACTACAGAAGAAAGATCAACAGATCTGTTTGGCAGCAGTTTTAAAATGAAAAAATTAGGAATTGAAACTAAAAAGTCTCATGTACACTGACTTTATTTTTAGGTTTAGGATGGTTAAGTATGGCCTTGAATACTGGTGGTTTTGACAATTTCCATGCAAACCACATCTCTGACAGGACTCTCAGAGATGTGGCGCTGGGCCGGCGCGTCCAAGCCTGCCACCTGTCCACAGCCTGACTCTGCTTCTCGGAACACTGATACAGTTATCTCAAGAAGGGGAAGATAGATTTCTTTATTTTACTGCCTGCAAGTAGGTAAATGTATGGCTCATATTATATAAGAAAGAACAGCATGTACTATGTTGTAGATTCTGGTGGCAGAATGTCATGAATCTACTATAATACATTTTAATCCTTTAAAAATAGTAATTATGAAAGTTGCTTATATTACAGAAATGCTTAGGCCAAGTAAAAAGACAAAATTTTTATCAGCACTATTGTTACACTGTGAGAAGAACTTGTATGTACAGGAACAAGGACTAAAAGATAATTGTCAGACATTTTACATTAATCCTTACACCCATGCTAAATATCAGCCCCTGCAAATTACTGATGAGGAAATTTTACAGTAAAGCATAGGTAAACGAATTTGCTTCAGATCACACAGCAACCCTGTGCCAAGGTTGGAGAATCTGAACCTAGGAACCTAATGTACCTAGCATTAAAACCCTGCCTCAGAGAGAGTGTAAAGTGAAAATGCTGGTTCCAGATATCACACAGTAAGAGATGAATGTTTTCTTCCACAATGATCTTTACTGCCATTAAAAAATTAACTCTGTGAAAAAATTCACAAATCCAATTATTAAGGTAGTATAGTCTGTAGCAAAATTATACCCTTCAAACTGCCAGAGATAAAATTCTTGTTTATAATGCCAAAGTAATTTAGCCATTTATACGCACAGTAAAAATGTACTTGCACAAAAACATTCAGTAGGTAAAGTGTCGGTGTTTTACCATACACAGGAAAAGATCTATCTGTTTTCTTGGATACTTTCAGAATCTAGTCTAAAGAAAACCTCCCTACCAAGCTACAAGGACAAAGACTGCAGACAAAGTACAAAGAAATTCAACCACAGGAATGCAGAACAGAAAGAGCAAGCGGATAAGGGCAAGGTGAAGGTTAAAAACCTATCTCAGCCTTGGGGCAAAAATAGAGTAGATAGTCCCTGCATCCCCTGCCCTGCCAGCCTCTCCAGAGAAAGAAACCACAGGGCAATGAGCTTTGGGCTTGACATGTTAGGAAGTGTTTGTTCTCGCAGGTGGTTAGGTTTCTACGTCTTTCTGAAGTGTTTAAGGTGGAGGATTTCCCATACAAACAGTCTTGTCATCTAGAACTAACTCCCTCCTTACCTCCCTTTCTTCGCTGCTTTGCTGGGGACAGATAGATCCCAGAGCTTCTAACATGCTACACAAGTGATCTATCACTAAGCCACATCACTGCCCTCTAGAATATGTTTTCTGAAGTTGTGAGATAATTTTGACCATCATAGCAGACACCCTTGGCACCTGGCAGGTAAACTCCAGAACAGTCCTGCAGAAGAAAGAACTGTCCTGCTCCCCACTTTCATCCTACGTGACTTTCAGATACCCCTCTGGGCCTTCATGTTGGCAAAAAGTCCATCTACATCCATCTGAGCCTAGATCCTAACTGCTTTATCCATACACAGAATCATTTCATGCAGCTTTTATATTAAAATTTCCTCAATACAACCACAATTTAAATCAGAGGAATTACGTTTCTTTTTATATTTTGTTTTGTCTAGAATTATGCTATGCTAATAGAGGCTCACAGTTTCAAAAAACACATCATTGCTGCAAAGCCACCTGTGGCATTTGCATTGCCAATTTGACCAGACCCGGCTGACAGCTTTTGTATTCTTAGTGCATCTACATACAGGGGAAGAATCCAAATGCGTCACTTATTCTGAGACAAAATTTCGAGGCCAGCCTTGAACTCACTATGTAGTCCAGGCTGGCCTCAAATGCAGTGACCCTTCTGCTGCGCCCTTCTAAGTAGTGAGATTACAGGTCCAGCTGACATCATGTCTTTTTTTTTTTTTTTTTTTTTTGAGACAAGGTCTTGCTGTATAGTTCAGGCTGGCCTCGAGTTCACTACATGGCCCAAGCTAGGCTCCCACTCCAGGCAACCCTCATTCCTCCGCCTCCCAAGGGTGGGGATGACAGGTGCACACCACCACACCCAGCTGCCTCATGTCTTCTTGTGTATGAAGTATAATCCTTCTGAAATAGGCTTTACTTATTACACATTGCTTTCCTTTCATTTTCCTTGGTCTTTTTTCTAGACATCACTGCACCAGGCTCTAGACTGTGGGCAGATAGGTCATATGACAGTGATTTTCATTTCCTGACCATAACTGGGGCCACAGATCAGACAGTTAAGAAGATGGACGCACCTCTCCATATCCTCCTGAAAGGAAAAGCACAGGTGTCTCTTGCATAAAGTTTTGGTGAGTTGAGTCACCTTCCCAATTCTAGTTTTTTTAGTCTAGCTAACAAAACAGGGAAGGAGGCTGACACTCAGGGTGGAAAGCTCTGTGCAAAGTAACAAATATGCACCTGGTCAAGCAGCGCCTTGAGTCTTCTCTTCCAGGAACCCAAGTCAGGGCAGGGGAGCAGGCGTTAGTGAGGATGGCACTGTCCCTTTGCAGCACTGCACATCCCCTCAGGGAAGGCTGAGTGGTGCAGGTGAGGGCCAGGGCCAGGGCCAGAACAGGATAGAGGGCAGGAGCCCTGGGCTCCCCTCTCAGCTGTGTCACCTTCTGCAACACTGTGGATGAAGCGTGTGGCTTTGACTTAAATTCTCAACTTCCAAAATACAGACAGTAAGCTGTGCGTGCCCTTCAAACACTTACTGTGAATTAATATTACCAATTTCAAAATATACAAAGTAAAAAGCAACACAAATTTCTCCACAAAAGTTAACAAATGAAGACGTTTTAAACCTGGGACAGGTTGGGCTGGGGATTTAGCTCAGTGGTTCTGCCGCCTATCTTGCAAGCGCAAGGACCAGAGTTTGATCCCCGGTACCAAAAAATAAAATAAAATTACATTAAATTAAATGGGACAGGTCAAATTGAGTTATCTGAGTCCTGGTTTCCACGGTTAGATTTTCACTCAATGGAATATTCTATGTGCAGGTGGGTGTGTGTGCACACGTACACACACTTACATATATACATTCACATATACATAAACGTGGACATCAGAGACCAGGAAATATAGAAGGGAAAAAGGAAACCATACTGTCTGCCTGATTTAATAAAATATTACAATTACATTTTCATTAGGATATAATCTAAATCTTAGGGAACCTCCAAGGAAAACTACAGAAATACTTAACACAGGTCTGCCTTTCTCTCCAACTACCCTTTCAGTGGGACACAGAGAGTGGTGTGTTCAATTACAAGCATCTTCCTGCTTGGATAACCGTTAAGTCCCTTCAGTTGTCAAACTATATTCCATTAGATTGGTCTCAGTTCTTGTGCTCAGCTCCCAGGAGACCGGAAGCATAGCTGATTCAAGAAGCCACTAATCCTCCCCTGTTAGAAGAGAAATGCTCCCATTACTTTAGGTAAACTGAAGAAGCCCTTCTATTCCTGGCAGTGAAAACAGCTGCCCACGCCTGTTTGACTCTGAGTTCCCTGGTGCCAACAGGAACTGCTTATCTTTCCACTTCTTTTTGCCCGAAGCCGAGCTTGGTGTCTGGCAGACAAGAGGCGCTGAGTTAATTCCCACCGAATGAAATGATGAACTCTGGAAAGTACACAGAGCAAGTCTCCCTGTCCCCACATATTTTCTGGCCACATTAAGTGTGGATATTAACACCAGAACTGCTAACAAAGCTGTGGCCCCTGAAGGCTTAACCAAGTCTAGCTCTACCTTTCAATGGCTTCGAGGGCTTACAACACTGCAAGTAGCTGCATGATTTAAAAAATTGAAGTGATAGAGAATTTCAGTAGATGACTGAGAGACTTAAGCAGGTTCATAAAAATAAAAAGCAGTTGAAGCAGGAAGCAAAGAGTCTGGTCTTCAAAAAGGAAGCTGGGGTAACAGTGCATACACAGTTTGCATCTCAGCGCATGCTGCTGAGACAGAGATTCCAGGGTGAAGAAATAAGACGTCTGAGTTGTGATCTGGGGTCATAAACACACACACACATGCACAGACACAAAATTTGAAACAAATAAAAAGAGCCAGTTTTTTTTAAAGCCCACCCTATTTCTCCAGTGGAGCCACATCAGTAAATGGGCCTTTTGCAAAAGTGTTCATTCACTGTGAAGTGAAATAAACACAACACTTGGTTTCAGCTGAATAATTAGCATCCCTGTCCTCCCATGAGTTGCCTTTTCTAGCAACAGACATCTTTTGACTCTGTTAACTGCCTAAAGATTCTTGAAACTATAAATTGAAACTGGGTAAGCTAATTACTTTAGACAGAGTAAATAGCCCAAAATAAGATAATTTCTCCTATGCCTATGCTTCAAAAATTAAAATGAAATAAGGCT